TAGCTCACCTCAGTCCCAGGGCAGGGTTTACACCAGTCAGGAGCAGGGGCTTCCCCTCCCTGACTCAGGGGCATCAGCACCAGAGCACCTCAGGGCCAGGAAGACTCGTCAATAGGGGAGAGTCTCCCTCCTCCTCCTTGGCTCCTGTAGCATGGCGTCCTCCAGGTCTGTCAGGTTCTCTTTCCCTGTGTTGGTGGGAAGCTTTTCTCCTTCAAAAAAAATGGTTAACAATAATAACTGTCAATGGTTGAATTTCTCCATTTGCTGTTACACTACTTTTTCTTTCTTTACAGAAAGCCTTAAGAAATAGTTGGAGATCTTCATTCTCTCCAATGTTCACCACCTCACTGTTCCCCATTATGGCCTAACAAGGGTCCAACCCTAAACACAGCCTCCCTGGCCCAGCAGTCCTCACCCTCTGGCCCTGCTCCTCTCCAGCTCCCTCCTTCCTCTCCTCCCCTCGCTCTCCTCCCTGCCCTGCCTGGGTTCCTCCCCTTGAACACACTGACCACGCTGCTCTGTGCTGCTGTCCCGTGGTCTCCTGCTCCCTCTGTGGCAGTTTTCCTCTCTCTGTGGACGCGGTGTCCTGTGTGGGAACCTGGGAAGCACCGTGGGCATCAGACACTGGTAACACCTTTCCCAGGTGTTGGCCCCATGTCCCCCATTCCCACCAACCGTGTCCTCAGAAACTGAGGTGACAGCACAGATCAGGTCCAGAGGTGAAGGGTTTTGGAGAAGTTTCCCTGAGAGGAAAGATCTCTGCACCTGTGGGTGAGAAAGTTCACAGGGATATGTAAAGAACTCCTGGATCCCTGTGCTGTGTCCTCACCCCTCCTTTGATGGCACTCACAGAAATGAAGGCTCTTTTCTTACAGCCTATGGATAATGTGTCTCTTCCTTTTTTGCAGAAGACATAGTTCTGGACGAAGACACTGCTCACCCTCAGCTCCAGGTGTCAGATAATGGGAAACATGTTGAATGTTGGCCAACAGAGCGAGCTGTTCCCGAAAACCGTGAAAGATTTACCTCTCTCCCAGCTGTGCTGGGTCGGAACAGCTTCTCCAGTGGAAGCCATTACTGGGAGGTGGACACAGCAGGGAATGAAAGTTGGACACTAGGACTGTGCTCGGATTCTGTCAAAAG